TGGGTTAGCAAAGATGCAGTGAATATTCATACAGTTGCTCCAAGGAACTCAAAGGACCGGTATGGGACACTAAGGGTAAATGAAGATCATAAGTAAGGACAATGCACAAAGTGGCCTGGAAAAAGGGAGTCAAGGATGTGAAATTACTGAATGGGCCAAAACTTGTGAAACATGACAAATTAGCTCCTTTTCCCCCCTCAAAAACACACAGACAGCTCATAAGTTTCATTAAATGTGATCAGTTCACAGAGGACAGAGAAAGTCAGAACTGCTGGTGTCCTGTTCTAACTCATGCATCTCTCTCATGTAAGATGACCTCTAACCTGCAAATGGTAGAATAATCACAAGGAACGGCAGCCCAGCTAGAAAGGAAGCGATAAGTATGGACCAGCTCTTTGAGTTCTAATTCATGGTTAGCACAAGTCCTATCTCTGTGGGCTGCCATTGACATGGTAGTTCAAGTGCTGTGCATACCTTCATCTAACCTCCAAATACCTCCCAGAGGCACCATTCTCCCTAATTACAGATGACCAGATTAAGAGGGCTTCTAAGGCCATATAGTTATGAAATGGCTAAGCTGCGATTGGAAGCCAAGCAGGAATGCAAGTCTCCCATCAAATCCTCTAACAAGGCAAAATTTATGAATAACATTGCTTAACACCTGGAAGAGGCACTTGATACTGTGCTACTTTATCCGGAGCATATTTTTCTACCTATTCTCAAATTATCAGGAAATATTTTGTCAGGAGCTTGATGAAGTTCAAATGCTCCAGGTCTGAGAGATAAGGCTCAATGTCTGAGATATGTCCCTGGTTCACAAGCCTCTGAACTCTGCCCAGAAATTACACAGCCTTTGCAAATACATGCTGGCTCTCTTTCAGAGAGAGAGAAAGCTGTGCATCTACAAGTCTGTTCTGGAACTCTGGGGCCACGTGGACCTTGTGCTTGCGAGGCAGTTGTGGTGCCACTGAGCTAAATCCCTGGCCCTTAGTATTCCTTTTTGAGACCTACTATGTGCCAGGCTCTGTGATAAGGGCTCTCACATATACTCCCTCATTTAAAGATTCCCATTTTCCTTGTTTTTTGGTAAGAAAACTGAGGTGCAGGGAAGCTAGGTCATTTCCATGTAGTCTTTTATTTAAACAGGTAGAGTTGGGATTCAAAATTAGGTGTCATAATAGCAAGGACTCTCTTCCTCGTGTCAATTTCCTACCCTTTTTCCTTTCCTCACATTTCCCCTCCATCTGCAATGTCCGTTACCTCCTTCTCCATGGAGACAACCCTCCCTGACCTCCTGCAGGTTTACCCGATCTTCCTAACTCCCTGTCCATCCTCATGACACTTCACATGTGTATCCATCAAGGCTCTTGCTCTGTTGTTTTACTTGTTAGCTTTTGGTCCTGTTACTCCCTATACACTCTGCCATTGCTGAGTGAATTCTACATCCTGCTGATCCCTATGAGTTCCAGGAAGCACAGGGCACCTGCAAAGGGAGGAGGCTCTGCAGATGCCCCTGTATTGTTTTGTGGCATTGCAGCCTAGGGTTTCAGATTGTGAAGGTGGTGTGCATGCATTGACTGGGGAAACTGAGGCTTGGAGGGTTATTCATCCTCGGTCTAGGGTTTCAATGAGGTATGACGATAGTCAAGTGAGTTTCTGAGATCTCACATGGCAATTACAAAGCAAACAAAATTACAAAACAAACAAAATTCATGGCAATTACAAAGCAAAAATTATGAGACACCTATTAGGTGCCAAATTTTGTAGGTATCTTACTGTGATATGTGTGATTATCCCACAGTTTTCATGCAGAGAACAGGGCTAAAACTTTTCTTGGGGTAAAGTTATTTGTACAGGTTTCAGTCTATAGTCAACTGTCTACAAGGCAGGGCAGCATGGCAGAGGTGCACAGCAGAAGAGAAACAGCTCATGGCACAGAAGTGGGAAGCAGACAGCCATCAAGGAAAGGAGGGAAGGAAAGAGACCCCCAACCACGTCCCCAGTGACCCACATCCTCTGGCAGGCCTTACCTCCCAACATCACATTCAGCTATAAACTCATCGGTGGACCAGGCCACTGAAGAATATCAGGACACCATGATCCAGTCACCTCCCCAAAGGCCACCTAATCGTGCTGGAGGGTTTGGGGGACACCTAGCTATAAACCATAACAGTGGTAAAATAACTTGAAAGTTGTAGAAATGTGATCTAACCCAGATGATCCGGAATCCACCACGACCCTCTTCCCACAGTGTGTTACCTAGAGTGGGCATCGGATGGCAGGGATGCACAGAGGGGCTGAGGCTGGCCTTGTGCCTTTCCTCTAGCAAAGGGAAACACCACGATCTCAGCATTATGAAGGCCAACTTAGGAAAGTACCCCTGTGGGGCTCCACGTGGCACATCCTGAGGGAGCTGTTGTCCTGGGCCTTCCTGGGATGCTGCAGTAGACACCATGCGAGGCCGTATGATTGCAAGGATGGGCAGGAGTGTGGGGCCCAGGGAAACATTCTCCATCCTTCCTTTCTGCTACTTCTACTTCCCAGGGTCAGAAAACCCCTCTAGGTACCCTTTGTAGATTTCCCCAAGCTCCCTCTGACTGGACCCAGTAACTTCCTCTGAGGACTCTACACACATTGGCCCCATCCCTGCAGATCCAAGGCTAAGGCACCTTGTGGGTCTGGCATCGCTTTGCTTCCCTTCTCTCCCTTGGGCAGGCTCATGATCCTCCCTGAGAGGCAGATGCCGTCTCTCTGAAAAGGGGATAAAGGTTATCTTCTGATCATTCAGGACCTTTTGCTCTGGCTCTAACATGGGGGATGGCAGAATTGAATGTCCTTTACAGAGCTGCACACCAACCCCTGGGGAATCTGTGAAGCAAGGCCAGTCAGTTCAGTAGTGTCAGGCAGGGCCTGACGTTGGACCTGACCGGAACCGGTAGCAAGGCATTTGTGCCTTCCAACAGTGAACAGTGGGCTGATTTCCCTTCCTGCCCCTGGGCGGCCTGCTCCAGGAGGCTCTGGCCCCATCTTCCCTCTCTGTGTAATCTCTCCTGACAACAGTACTGTGATTAATGAAAAGTCACAGTATTTTTTCCATGACTTAAAAACTGAAATCACTAACCGCTTTTTTTCTAATATTTTTCTAATATTTTGTGATTTCAAAATAGTGATTAGAAGAAAAAAATCACAAGGGTGTTTAAAACCTATCCTAAGTGAAAGCTGCTAATTAGACCATAAGAGCACACATTTAAAAAAAAAATCCAAAATGTTGTGTTTATATTAATGTTTGACTTCAGAATAAATAGCATATTATTGACTAAACCTTGTAGGGTGAGCTCTAGACTTTGAACTTCCGAAAGAGCTACCACTAAACTTCTGATACATTCTTAAAAGGTCCCCCCACCTCCAGCACCCCAGCAGGTTGCTCAACATTTCTAAGAGAAGCAGGGAAGTAACGTTTATTGCACAGCTACTATGTTCCAGGCCTCACGCTAGGCGCTTTGTATGTGAGTGTGCCTCGCGGTTTCCCTTTTACTGCAGGAGCCAAGTTTTGAGGTCAAAAGGGCTGCCCACCATCCCACACTAGAGGGAAGAGCCAAGCAGGGGACACCAAGCACGGACACCAGGGTTTATCCCCTCTCCTTCCAGCCTGCTGGGGCCGGTGGACCCCTGCTCCTGTGCACCCGGGCCGCCCGCATGCAGGCGTTCTGTGCCCCCTAGCGTGGCCTCAAATCGGGATTCTTCCCGCCTCCGGAGGATGTGTCACTGCTCCTCATGGGCTCTCCTATCCCTAAAGCAGCGGACCGCAGGGACCGCAGGGAGCCCAGGGAGCCCAGGCTGGTTACCGAGTTTTCTCAGCCAGGTTGAGAAGTGGGTGTGTAGCCCGCCACACAGCTCCTCACCACACATCAGTTTCTGTGTGAGGACAGCGTGGCCTCTCACAGCTCTGGCAACTGCCTTTCGCGCGTTTCCAAGCGGCACGCGAGACTGGCCGGCCATCCGTGGAGCACCGGTGGGATGGGATGCGAATCCAGCACCTGCCCGGACCCTGCTTTGGGGGCAGTGTGCTCCCGGCGCTGGCACTGGCGGGGCGCCTCACCTCAGCCCGACTTACTGGTAGGAGGAGTGGTGGTCCCTGAGGAGAGCCAGCACCAGCCCCACGAAGGTGAGCAGCAGTAGCCTCGCCATGGCTCGCGGTGCTCTGACCGGAGCTCGGGCGGCGGTGCGGACCCGATCGGAGGAGGCCCCGCCCCGCCCCGCCCCGTCCCGCCCCGCGCGCTCCCCGCGCCCGCGCCCCGCCAGGGTCTCCTTCTACACCCCGAGACTTTAAAGAGAGGAGAGCAAGAACAGGTGCCTAAGACCGGACAGGCGGCGCGGGGCAAGCTAGTTGGAGGAAATACCCGTGGGAAAGCCGAGTCCCTCAGTGCTGAGCTCTCACTTTGCGTCCCCAAAGTCCTGCTCGGAGTGGTTCACACTGGTTCAGTAACCTGAGCACTGCACAGGAGAGGACGTGGCTGGAACCCCCACGATCCCACTCTGTCCTCCTGGGCTGCCTCTACTCGGTGTCACCGGCCACCTTCTCACCATCTCAGGGCCACCTCTGACTTGGCGCCACACAAGCGTGTCGCTCCCTGAGCATTCGCTCCTTCCCTCCGCCACGCTGCATCTGCCACCTTCTAGGAGCGGTTCTAGATGCTAGGAGACGCGACAAACGTCTCCGCCAAGCTTATATTCCAGCAGGGGTGTCCACAAAGACATCAGCGAAGCGTGTTCCTCAGGCACGTGCACCTATGCTAGGGCTAGGGTTAGGAAAGTGCGTGCATGCATGAGATATTGACGTGCACCTATGCTAGGGAACAGAAATAGAGCGGGCTGACTGAGCACCTGGAAGGAAGGCAGCGCCTCTGCACACCCGAGTCTCTCTGCCCTCCTGTTATCAAGAGGTATTTCTTGCCAGCTTCTCCTTTGCTGTGGGTCCCTCTCCTTCTTTTAATTCCAGTCATGCCTTCTTTCTTTGGCAAGGTGCATCTCTCCCTCTTTCCCAGACTATTCTCAGATATCCATATGCCTTTGTCACTAACCGTAGTTTTCTAGGGGAACCCCCTCTGACTCTGTAACTACTGCTCAGTTTCTTTGCTCCCCCTGGAACACTTGCTCTTAAACTTTGAGCTTCTGGGTAAGGAACTTGACCACCCCCTGGGGCATCGATGTGAAAGGCCGGGGACTCGGGGAGGACAGAGTGTCCCGTGACAGCCAGCCCTCCAGCCATCTCCACTGAGGAAGCAGACACCTGAATACAGTCCCCCAAACTCTCCAGGTTAGCTAGCCACAAGCTGTGACCTGGGTGACTCCGTGGAGCAGGGGGGCCTATGGGAGAGAGAGTAGGACTACAGAATTCAAGAGCAGAAAGTATTTGAAGAAAGGGAGTGGTTATGAGTGAATATGATTAAGACAGAGAAGGAACCATGGGATTCAATAACTTGGACGCAAAGGGCGGTTTAACTGGGCAAATTCTATACTTGAGTCAAAGGAACACAAAGCACATGAGCGTGGGTTATAGAGAGTGTGGAAGACTGGAGATGTCCACCAGAAACTCCCTTGCTCTCAAACAATGGCTACGGAGCTTGGGCAGGGCTCAGGAGGCTGCCTCACTGACATTTCCACCGGGACGTCGAACAGTCCCTTCAAAACATATCCGAAGAAGAAACCTCAGTGCCCCTCCCTGACTTGTTATGTTTCCCAAGTTCCCCACAATTCAGTAAATGGCACTGCTACCATCAAGTTGCTCATGTCCTAAATCTACACATCTCTTTTTGTCCATTGCTTTCTCTCACACATCCTTGCTCCAAATGTATCAGTCAGTGCTCTAGGCTCTGTTCTCTGCCTTTTTTGTTTGTTTGCTTGTTTGCTTGCTTTTTTGAGACAAGATCTTACTGTCTAGTTCAGGCTGGCCAAAACTCACTTTGTAGCCCAGGCTGGCCTCAAACTCACAGAGATCCTCCTGGCTCAATCTCTCAAGTGGTGGGGTTACAAGTATGAACTGTCATGCCTGTTTTATTCTCTGTTAGTTATTTATTACTGCATAACAAATTATGGCAAAATCTAGCTGTTAAAACATTCCTTATCTTGTAGATCCTGCAGACACAAGTGCAGCCATGGTATAGTAATCTTGTATGGTCACTCAGAAGTTGCCAGTTCAGCTAGCTGTCAGCTGTGGTTTTGCGTTCTCTGGAGGCTGGGCTTGAGTGCGTGGGGGAGTAAGATCACCTTCCGAAGTTCTTGGTGGCCATCAGTCCCTTGACACAGTGGCCTCTACACAGGGCTGCAGGAGAACAAGGCACGTGAGTCCCCCAGAGCAAGGGGTCTGACAGGTGAAACAGCATGTATCCCCAGTGGAGGCCTCAGTTTTCTAATGACCTAATTCGGGAGGTGCCATCCCCAGTCTCTACCATGTTCTATTTGTTAATAGCAACGCCATTCAAGTTCACCTTCAAGGAGAGAGGAATTAAGCTCTACTTCTTGAGGAGAAGGATATTGGAAAAAATGCGTATGCATTCAAGCTTAAATATTACATGAAAAACTCTTATATGAAAAGCTCCATATACGTAAGGTATGAAATAAGAGACAGATAACAGGGGAAAAAGGTATTGTAATTCAGCATGGATAACATACCTAAAAGTGTACCTTGACTTAGTACAATTGTCTTACGTGTTTTTTATGTTCCTTGGCCTATTAGTCCTCTTTTCAGTCTGTATATATGATAATGAACTTTAACAGGTCTTCTACGATAAATAAATGAATCTGATGCTGGGAATATAAAAGGGGTGGAGGGAAGGGGGAAAAAGAAGGGACCTGAAATATATTATGTACCTGTACTAACCCCCTGCAGTGAATGTCATCATTATGTATTTCAAACATGTACTAATAAAAGTAAAAAAAAAAAAAAAGAGAGACTAGGAGAATGGAGCTGGCAAAAAAAAAAAAAAAAGAAAAATGCATGCATATCTTGAAAGTCACAACTCCCAAATAAATATCAAATCATCCCACTGCTCTCCATTTCCACTGCTGTCTCGATGGCCCAGGCTACTATGGTCTCTGGGCCAGAACAACCCCCTCACTGTTCTCTCCCAATCCCTCCTCCCTGTCTCCCTGCAGCCCAGATAAGCTTTAAAACATGTACATCAGATCATATCATTTCCTTGCTTACAACCCTCTTTTCCACAGCTTCTCATCTTACTTTCTTATCATGGCCTAAGAGGCCCCACAAGAGCTGGCCTATGTTTACCCAGCACAGAGAGGCGGTAGCAGCAGCTTTCTTGCCCTTCTGCACACTTGCCAAGCCTACTGCGTCGCTGCCTTCACCTTCGCGGCTGCTCTTGGTCTGGAATCTGCTTTCCGTCATTTCCCAATGGTACCATCTGCAGTAGCTCCCCTGCCCCTGTCCCCCCCACCAGAGCTGATAGCAGATGTTGTCATGAATGTACTTACCAGCTGTTAGTATAGTGACTTAAACACTGGTTGCTAAATAGCTACTTCCTCAGTTCTCCCAAGAGAGCTCACACAGCATGGACCCTTCTGCCTCCTCCAGAGACGTTCCATAAACAGCCACAGCAAGGTCTATGATTCTTCTTCCAAGTAGTGGTGGATTCAGTTGTGACTGATGGAGACGGTGCTGCTTCTGTGGTTGGGGGCTCTAACCATCACTGTAGGCACAGTGCCCCTTGCCCTGTGGAGGCAGCTTGCTCCTCTGTTCCTTCACTTGCATGTAGCCTGCTTTCCTCCAGCATAGGGCAAATGGTGGGAGGGCCCAACTCTGCTGCCTACCTTCTCTTTTGCCCATTTCTGGTACAGGGCAGTTGCTCAAGTATTTTTAGAAGTCTGAATGAGTGCCAAAGGCTGAGCAGAAAGAGGGCATGAAGAGCCGGGAGCTGAGAGTGTGCTGGGGGAGTACAGATGCCACTCTCTCCTCCTCTAACCAGTTGTCCTGTGGGCACCAGAGAACTCAGGTAGGACAAAAAGCTTTTGTTTGAGGCCATTGGATATTTATCCTCTTTCCTTCTTTTCTCAACCCATTTTGTCTTCCTTCCCTTCCTGTCCCTTTATGGCTTTGCTTTCAGGGTCAACAACAAAGTTTTCCCAATTCAACTCATATGATACAACAATATGGGATGGCTACAAGGAGAGACCACATCTTAAGTTAACTTCTTTGGTAACCTAAATGCTTAATCTTCCTAAGTATCCTTCATCTCCTTCCCCTCCCACAAAATTCAGAGGTTAATTTGCTATGCAGGGAAGGATAATGGCACCTGCCCAAATACAAAAGGTGCTTTCTGGATCCTGATTCTTTCTTTCTTTCTTTCTTTCTTTTTCTTTCTTTCTTTCTTTCTTTCTTTCTTTCTTTCTTTCTCTCTCTCTCTCTCTCTCTCTCTTTCTTTTCTTGGTACATGTTTGCAGTACATAAAATTTCCAATCACCTAGGGGAGTGGGTACATGTATGTCATACAGCTTGGTTCTTTTTTCTTTTTTATATATTATTAATTTTACTGGTACATTTTAGGTATACAATATAATGGCATTCATCATTGGGCATTTGCATAATCTCTCTTGGTTCTTTTTTTCCCCATTCCCCTGCCCTTCCTTCAATCCCTCCACCCCTCCCTATTTGCAAAGACTTTGTTTCTATTTTTTTCATTTTCTTATACTAATTCCCTTCCCTTCTTTCCTTTCCCCTACCCTTCCCACTTTCCCTTCCCCTTTGCACCTTTTCTTCCTATTTCACATTATCTGTTTTAACTTTTAGACTTTATTTACACTTTCAGTTTGTCACACCAGAGAAACTATTCAGTATTTACACATATGTGTCCTATTTATTTCACTTAAGAGTATTGCCTCAATGAGCCTCCATTTAGCTATAAATGCCTCTAATTTCTCATTCTTTATGGCTGAGTAGTACTCCATTTTATTTTTTAAAATCCCGCATTTTCTTTATCCAGTCTCCCGTTGATGGACAATTGGGCTGTTTCCAAGTTTTAGCTATCACAAACTGTGCTGCTATGAATATGGGTGCACATACTATCACTGTGGTATGATTCTTTTAATTCTTTTAGGAAGATACCCAGCAGGGGAATAGCTGGGTCAAATGGGACTTCCAATCCTAATTCTTTGTGGTATCTCTGTACTAATTTCCACAGTGATTGCACCAGTCTACCCTCCGACCAGCAGTGGAGTAGGGTTCTTCTTTCCCAACAGCCCCTCCAGCATTTGTTATTGGTTGATTTCATGATAGTAGCCATTCTTTCTGGGGTGAGGTGGACTATCAGTGTTGTTTTCATTTGCATCTGTGATGACCAGTGATGGTGAACATTTTTTCATATGTTTATTTGGTATTTCTACTTCTTTGTCTGAGAAATGTTTGTTCATTTCTCATGCTCATTTTTGGATTGGGTCTTTAAATCTGGGAGGTCTGATTTTTTAAAGTTCTTTATAGATTTTAGGTAATAGACCTTTGTCTGAAGAAGAGCAGGTGAAAATTTTTCCCCAGATTGTGGGTTGTCTCTTCACACTGTTGGTGATTTCTCTTGCTGTGCAGAAGCTTTTTAATAAGAAGAGATCCCACTTGTTGATTGTTTGTGCTAGTTCACAGGCAACTGAGGTTTTGTTCATAAAATCTTTTCCTATGCCAATGTCTTTCAGAGTTCTACCTAACCTCTGTTCCACCTGGTTTAGTGTTTCTGTTTTAATATTTTGATCTTTAATACATTTCGATTTTAGTTTAGTGCGTGGAGAGAGTTTGGTTGAGTTCTAGTATTTCATTGTTTACTTTTTGTCTAGTTGATCTATCTATTTGTGACAGTGGAGTGTTGAGGTCCCCTACTACAATTGTATTCATATAGTTGGGTGCACTAGTGTTTGGTGCATAGATATTTATGATTGTCATCTCTTCCTTTTGGATTGTTCCCTTTACAAGGATGTAGTGTCTTTTTTTGGTCTCTCTTCATCAGTGTTGATTTTAAATCCACTTGATCTGCAAAGAGAATAGCTACTCCTGCTTTGGGGGGGGGTTTCTGTTGCATGGAGTATTGTATTCCACTCTTTAACTTTCAGTCTATGAGTTTCTCTTTGAATTAAGTCCGTTTCTTGTATGCAGCATATCATTGGATCTTCCTACTTGACCCATTCTGCCAGTCTATTTCTTTTGATTGGTGAATTGAGACCATTAACATGGATGGTTATATTATGATATGTATTGATGGTTACATGATGATATGTATGACTTATCTTTGTCATGACTTTTTCTTTTTGTTAGAGTCTACCCCTTGTATTTAATATCTTTTCATGCCCAATGGATTCATTCTGCTGGGCTTCCTGGGGTTGTGATTCTCATTGTCTTTTCCTAGGATATTGTCTAAAATTTTTTGGAGTGCTGGTTTGGTATTCATGAAGTTCCTAAGGTGCTCTTTGTCATGAAAGTATCTTATTTCTCCATCCATTTTGAAAGATAGTTTTGCAGGGTACATCAATCTGGGTTGGAGGTTGTTTTCTCTTAGGGCTTGGAATATATCACTCCAAGCTCTTCTTGCCTTAAGGGTTTATGTTGAGAAGTCTGCTGTGATTCTGATAGGCTTTCCTTTGTATGTGATTTATTTCTTTTCCCTAACTGTTTGTAGAATTTTGTTCTTCCGTTGGGTTTCTCGAATCTTAACTATTATATCCCTGTGTGTAGATTTCTTTTGATCAAGTCTATTTGAAGTCCTATGTGCCTCACTTATCTGTATGTCAAGTTCTTTTCCCCTACTTGGAAAGTTTTCTGCCATTACTTCTGTGAACAGATTTTTTATGTCATCTGCACTCTCTCCTGTTTCTTCATTGACTCTGATCAATCTTATGTTATTCTTCTTTGCATCATCTAACAGCTGCTGTATTGATTTCTCATGGTCCCTTACTATCTTTAAGAAATTAAACTTTTCCTGGTCACTAATTGCAATACTGTCTTCTATATCTGAAATTCTGTCCTCATACTCACTCATTCTACTTCGTAAACTTTCAATGGAGTTTTTAATCTCCTGAAAATCTGTTTACACCTGTTTTATGGATTCCTTTTGTTTCCTATGTTCGGATTCCACCATGTTCCTCAGCTTCTGTGTCTTTGCTAGATTTATTAATCATGTTTTGCACTATGGGCCCAATCTCTATTTTTATCTGACAAATTATTTCTGATTTCATTTTTTCCATATCCTCTTTCATTGCCAGTTCAGGGAGTCCAGGTGGTTGAATATCAGATTGTTTCATCTGGTTTCCCTTTGGGGTTTCCTTCAGTGATCTGGAAGTCTGCTTTTGAGACTTATTTAGATGTCTTCTCATTTCAACAGATGCAGCCTGCTGTGCCTTTGTGGAGGCAACTTTTTGCTCACCCAGTGTTCTTCAATTCTCAGCAAGCCATCGAGTGGCCTTTTCTCTGCTACTTACCAGTGTACCAATTTCTGGGTTCAGAATGTTTTCTTTCTGGATCCCTGAGCTGACCTGTTGTTTGGGTGGGCTTCTGGCTGGGACCTATGCACACTTAGGATGGTATCTAGGTATGCCTCTGGTTAGGGTCTGCCCCTCTATGTACCTGTTGTCTGGGAGGGCCTTTCGCTGGGGGCTGTGCACCTCTGAACCTGGTGTCTGAGTAGGCTTCTGGCTAGGGTCTCCACACACTTACCAATATTATCAGGGTGAGCCTCTGGCTGAAGCTTGTGTGCCCAAGCCACTTAGGTCAGGGCAGGGCTCTGGTTAGGATCTGCCTGCAGCCACACTGCTCTGGTTCACACCGCTGCTCACAGGACTGGTTCTTTATTCAATCCCTTTCCTATTCCCTCTCATCTCCTCCTCTTCCTCTAAGTCCCCTTTCTCTCTCATCTTTCTTGTTCATGTTATTAGTCTTAGCTCATGTTTATAACATATAATGTTTACATTCATTGAGGTTATTATATTTCTGTACATGGCATCTTTATTCTACTTATTTTCCCATCCACTCCCCCTCTCCTCACCCCATGTTCTCTTGATCCCCCTCACATTTGCAAGAAAGAAATCCATCCCCTTGTCTCCTTCTATCCATTTTTTATTGTGCTCTTTGTACTTTGCTTCACTCAAACAAGAAGTACCATATGATATTTAAACTTGTGTGCCTGGTTTATTTCATGCAGCATTACATTTTTCAGGTGCATCAGTTTTCTTACAAATGTCTCAAATTTGTCATTCTTTATAGCCAAGTAGTATTCCATTGTGGATAGATACCACATATTCTTTATTCAATTATCTGTTGTTGGATATACAGGCTGCTTCCAGGATTTAGCTATTATGAATTGTGCTGCTATTAAGATTGTTGTGCATGCATTGCTATAGTGTGATGTCTTTAGCTTTTTGTGGAAGATATCTACAAGGAGGATAGCTGGTTCACATGGAATTTCTAATTTTAGTTCTTTGAGAAATCTCCATAATTATTTCTATAATGGTTGTGCTAGTTTACATTCCCACCAACAATGTAGGAGGGTTTCTTTTTCTCCACAGCCATGCTAGCATTTTTTACTTTTTTGGTTTTGTGATGACTGCCATTCTTGCTGGAGTAAGATGGAATCTTACATTTTAAAAATTTGTGTTTCTCTAATTGCCAGTGATGTTGAACATTTTTTCATATATTTGTTGACAATTTGTAGTTCTTCCCTTGAGAAATGTCTGTTCATTTTATTTGCCCATTTCTTGATTGAGTCATTTATTTTAGGTAGTCGAAATTTTTAGTTCTTTATATATTCTAGATATTAGTCCTCTATCTGATGAAGAGCTAGCAAGGTTTTTTCCCATTCTGTAGTTGCCCCTTCATCTATTAATTGATTCCTTTGCTATGCAGAAGATTTTTAATATGATGTAATTTCTCTTGTTCATTCTGGCTTTTATTTCTTGTGCAATTGTGGTTCTGTTTAAGAAATCCTTTCTGACACCTATACT